TGCATTTATAACCAATAAAATTGATATAACAATAGCCTATATAAAAGAGTTAATTAAATAATAATGTAAATGGGATTGAAATTTTAACAAATAATAAATACCTAATTACTAACTACTAGAGTAAACGTAGAATAGATGGAAGAAAACTACAATTCTTAGTTAATAATACTTAAATGTTCAATGTACCATAAAAGGTTTTAATAAATATTTCTTGAATTGACACAAAAGCCTCGTATGATTATTTCCTTCTTTTCATACACATCAGTGTTGTCAGATATAAAACATCTAAATTAATAGATAATTTGTGTCATTGCTCTAATCTCGTGTTGTGGCTAGTGCGAGTGTTCAGTGGTGTAGCGTAGTCGTAGCCATTCATTTGGCTATCCCATGCGGTGTTGCCACTTCGAACGCCGCGGCCTTAGTTAAAGGCGGCCGTAATTATATACATATAGATTCAAGATTCAAAGAGTCTTTATTCACACAGTACAAATTTTCGTACATGAATAGTGTCTATTGTTACTAGGGGTCTCAATCCCGGGCCTTCAATCCAATCCCAGGATTTCGGGATTCGTCCCGGGATCAATCCTGGGATTATATAATATTATGATTTTTAACTTTTTAGCCATTTTAAATTAGCGAGAAGTCTCCTCGTTGAGTACTTTAATGTTTTAAACTTAAACTGGCCTTACCAGTGTTACACTGCGCAATGTTTCCGTTTTCTAAGTAAATAAATATTACCACGCTGAACTTTCATCGCCCGTATTTCTTATTTATAGTGTATAAATGTTGATATGTCACTCTAGAATATAATAAATACATTTAAAGTAAATCCAAATCGTCTAAAAACTGAAACATATATTTAGGCCTACATTCGTTAGCCTATTGAGTTTAATGATAATTAAATTTTCCAATCAAAAAGATCATTAGGCCTACTTATACCATTTTGTATAATCGTCTTAAAAATAAAGAGTATATGTGTTTCAAGTGTTATTGGACAATTTTATTAGTTTTCCTCAAATAAAAAGTCCTCAAATTCACAAAAAAATCAATATAAACATAGGTTTTGCAATCCCGTTAATCCCGGGATTAAAAGTCACCAATCCCGGGATTTCTAGGTATCAAAAATCGGCCGGGATCCCGGGATTGAGACCCCTAATTGTTACTTAATACCTAAATTAGCAATAAGAAACATTTAAACAAAATACTATAGGCTACATTATTTTAAATTGAAATTAGGCTACTATAATCTTCTATTTTGTAAGGTGTAAGGTCAAGTAAGAATGCCTTCAGTTTTTTCATAAATTTAGATTTGTCTTTTTCTTTTTTTTAAAAGCTAGGAAGTTTTCTAAAAAAATAGTTTCCAATATAAGAAGGTTTATTTTTTAAAAGTTCAAGTCTTGGTTTTTCTTTAGCTAAATAATTGTTACCCCTTGTATTATAATTATGCACAGGCAATTCTTGATTCTCAGCAATATTTGAAAAATATTTAATTGTTTCAAAAATATATAAGGTGTGAACTGTAAAAATGCCCATCCCTTTATAGCTGGGTTTTCCTAGGAGCGGAGTCGGCGAGCGGAGAGAGGAACGCGGAGAGCGGAATTGAAATTAACATGGCATTCCGCTCCGCTTCTAGGAAAACAGTAACATTAAATTGCCTAAGACAAGTGGAGTCCGCTCTCCGCATTCCTCTCTCCGCTAGCTGATTCCACGCCTAGGAAAACCTGGCTTTAAATAAGATTTGATGGACTGATTATATTTTAATTTATGTATTATCCTGATTGCTTTTTTTTGTATTTTCAAAATCTATTTTAAATTCTTTTTCTTTGTCCCACCATAAATACTAATTCCATAGTTAATATGTGATTCAATATGAGCATGATATATCATTTTAAGGACTGATCCTTCACAGAGATATGACATTGTTCTTAGGACGAATATACCAGAATTTAGTTTTTTTTATTAAATACTCGACATGTTTATTCCAGCTTCTCATCTATTATCAAACCCAATAGTTTTGAGGTTTTAACTTTGAGCAATGGAATTTGTATCTATATCTAACTTTATACTTTTATCATTTTTGTCTCTTTTTGTTTTGAAAAGAATGAAATTAGTTTTACTAGTATTAAGTAGCCTACTAAATTATGGTATTTTAAAAACTGATTCAGACTTTTTAATTCTGATTTAGCAGACATTTCTAAATCAGTTAGGGATTTCCCAGTTGTGTTAAGATTAATATCATCTGCATATATACTTATCTTACTACCTGGGTCTTTTAGAGAATTTGGAAGATTTTTGAGGTAACATATGAATAAAAGAGGACCAAGAATCGATCCCTGTGGGACATCAGATGATATCTTTGATAAATTAGATTTTGTTTTTTGGAAGATGTTATTTTTTGACAAAGTTGATATTTCCACAAATTGGTAACGTTCCTCTATGTATGATTTAAACCATTTGAGAGTGACTCCTTTAATACCCAAATTATCAAGTTTAGCTATTAATTGATGGTGGTCTACATTATCAAATGCCTGGGACATGTCCATGAAGATGCCAGCTGAATTTAAACCCTTATCTAGTGAATTTATCACAGCTTCAATGAAACTAACCGCTGATGTAACAGTCGATCTACCAGCACGGAAACCATGTTGTTCATTATCAATTAGATCACACTGGTTCAAGAAACTGTTCAACCTGTTGTACACTGCCTTCCCATATACCTTTGATATTGCCGGGAGAATTGACACTGGCCTGTAGTTTGAAATATCTTTCTTAGAGTTTTTCTTATAAACGACCACTCTAGCAATTTTAAGCTCAATTGAAAAAATTCCTGTTACAAATGATGAGTTAATTAGGTGCATTAAAATGAATTTAATCTCCTCTTTCACCTCTTTTAACATTTTTACTGATAAATCGTCATAGCCAGATGTTGTTTTATTTTTTAAAGAGTGTATAATAGTTATTATTTCGGTATCAGTTACTGGTTCGAAATACAATTTTGTATGCCATATATTTTTTGAAGAGGTGTCTGATGTAGTATTACAAAATTTTGTATGTAACGTTGAGGGTTTTGTAAAAAATGAGTTAAAATTATTTGTTATTTTTTTTGGATTGTTAACTATCTTATTGTTAACTTTTAATGACATATTTTCCTGTTCTTTTTGTTTTTTGCCGTTAAAGACTTCCTTGTTAATAATTGACCATGTTGTTTTTGAAATGTTTGATGAACGTTTATTTTTTTTGTTATAATATTCTTTTTTTGTTTTGAAAAGATCAAATTTAAATTTTCTTCGACAAATTTTAAGCTCTTTGCACTCTTTGTCTTGATTTCTTGCACACTTACTTATCCTAACAATAGTTTCCCTCTCTTCTCTTAACCTAGCATTCATCCAGCAATTCTTTTTGGAGCCTGTTCTAACAGTAATTTGTGGAAAACACTCATTAAAATAATAAAAAAATTTCTGATGAAACTTAGAGTACTTATATTCAATAGGAGACTTGTAAATTTCCATCCAATTCTCATCCTTCAGTTTTGATTTGAACAAATTGATGTTTTCTTGGCCAGGATTTCTACAAGTTTTTACTATGGATTTTTTTTTAATGATCAAGGGTAATATTCATCTCAAGTACCTGACCATCATGGTCTGACAACCAAGTAATTAAACCATATACACACATCTGTACATCAGTAATATTAGTTAAAAAATTATCAATAGAGGATTTGGAATTTTTAACAACTCTTGTGGGAAAGTCCACCAAATATCTCATGCTGTGGCTTTTTAGTATGTTTGAAAACTGTTTATATGTGTGATTTTTATCCAATACATTTATATTAATGTCCCCAGCTACAATTATATTTTTACAAATTCCTAGGAGCCTGTCAATCACAAAACTAAGTTTATCTAAAAATAGTTTACTGCTTGCGCTTGGGGAACGATTAACTCCTAATAAGTACAAATTGATAATTGTTGGTACAACACTTCACCGCACAACACTCAAAAACCTTCTCCTCACATGTTTCCTGTATTATAGAGGTTGAAATTTTCTTAATTTTTAGATTATTTAAATTATTTTTAGCCATCAATGCCACACCTCCTTTTGTAAAATTGCTTCTACAAAAATAATGTTTAAGATTGTAACCATCAATATTGAATTTTAGAATTTCATAATCCTTCATATTATGCTCTGTTATTACTAATAAGTGTGGATTTATTTCGTCAATAATAATTTCTAATCCATTTTTACGAGATTCCAGATGTTCTATATTTTGAAATATTGTTATTTTGTTTTTGGAGGAGTCAAAGTTTGGTTTAGGTTTGTGGCTTGAGAAGTTCCGAAAATTGTGTTGTGAAGAGCTGTACACATTCTTAGTTAAGGCTATACATTCTTTGGGATTTTTTGTATTATTGGTAAAAAAGAAGAGGAAGGAACAACCAATAACCATGTTACCTGAAATCACTTATATCATTGTTAAAGAGGGTTAGTTCATTTTAACGGTGTTGGCTGCACTGCACTGTTGCCATGACACCATGTCTACTAGATCGCTGGCTCTGTGGTTGTTTAACGTCATCCATGCTACAGGTTAATCGTGTTCTATTCGGAGGCGTTATTCTCTAATTTGTTTAGTTCTGTCATTACAATTTACCTATCTGTTAAAATCATCTCAATGCCAATACTTTTAATTAATTGGTGAAATCAATAAATTATAAATAATATTGGTGAGTCTGTGGCACCATGGACCCAAGGCAGTGATCGTCGAATTTCACTGGAAACCGCTCCCCTCCTCCCCCAACCTCCCCTTTATATTTTCAATTTTGTAAAATCTTGTCTTCTTGCACATCTACACCATACAGTGATCTTATATGCCAAATTTGATCATTCTAGGTCGTATATATATTGTGATAATATAGTGATCATATATCAGTCAGTAGTATAAAGATTATAAACTGAAAGAAACAAAACCATTAACATGTACCCTAATCTTACATAGTTTAAACTCTTACTTGTAGCAGCTTTAACAATTTTTTCAGAGGTCTTGGCCAGTTCCGTGGGGTCAGCTTGCTCATTGACACACCTCGCCACTAGTACTTGCTTCATTTGATGAATTCCCGTCAGTAATCGCTCTGTAAAAAAAAAACATAATACTATTTTGTCAAGAACTGGTATGTAAACAGAAAAGTAGTGTTAAAAAATGTTACGAATTGAGTTCTTTTCAAAAACCTTTACCATCTCTTGTTTGAAATTACAAACTACATGATTAGTGCTATCCAGCTTTTGGTAGGGATTAATTTTTCAGAAAGGTAGTTCTTCTTGTCTAAGATACCTATCCTTTTTGTCAAGATGTAGATGGACTAAAACTTCAGGTTAGCTATCAACTAAGTAAGCAACCGTATGAGCTTTAATAGTCCAAAACACAATACCTTAAAGCAGAGAACTAGTAGTTTGAGTTAATTTTTTTCTACCATACAATAATTTTCATTACGTCATTATACACATTTCAAAGGGAGCATTTCTGAAATCTTAACAAATCTGAAATCATAACATCTAAAATTACAATAATTGTATTAAGCTACCATGGTATGGTTTGTATGGTTGTCAGAGATAAAAACCATTATTACTTTCTACACTTGCTAATATTTTGGATTACCTTAGCATAAAGAATGTATTTTAGCCAATGAAAGCTATTACTCACACACAACATTTCAAAGTGTTGGTTGTAGTAAGAATATTTCTATATAAGAGTAGAATGCTTATTTTTTATAGTGAAAATTTAACAGAGAATCAGATATTATAATATCATATTATGTGATTGAGATATTTTGATAGTTTGATAGAGCTTTTCCAAAACATTGTTAATGTATTTTTGTACCAATGGATGCATTAATGGTTTATGTACATTACAAATGTTTATTTGTATAATATTTACAATAACTATAAGTTTAACAAACAATTAGTGCCACAACGATATATGGAGGCAAAAAAATAAGGAAAGAAAATGTATAATTTTGTAGCTAGTATAATAATTATTTGTAATTAGGTCTGTGGAATACTCTGCCTTTGCATCTGTTGGGTTGCTATAATCTTTTAATGACGTTAATTGGTTAGGCCTACCACACACGAGAGACTTTTTGTCGACCGACTATTTTGTGTAGTCGGGAGTCAAAGTTGGCCCCATAGTGGTAAATCTGAGCGTGCACACGGGCTGACCGCAGCCAGACAGCCGGCAGACTGTCTGCAGACAGTCAGGGCATTTTGGGACTGACCAATTTTCCTGCTTACTGCTCCTCGACTCAACTGTCGTGTCATATTGATAGAGGCATAGAGACAAGTTTGAACGCGCACACTGACGACTAAAAAGTCTGACAGTCTGACAGAGTTTTGTTGTGTGTGCGCTACGCAGACAGTCCAGTGCGTTTAGGCTGTGACAAGTGTAAGTGTTTTGCGAGACGTAAAAGTTAATAAACTTATTGATGAAGTGGAGGCACGGCCCCCTCTTTATAAAAAGTCTTTGAAGGAGTATTGAGACATAATATAAAAAAAAGTGAATAAAAGTGATGGGAAGAGGCATTTGCAGCTGTGGTGGCTAACTGGGGTACCCACCAAACACCGAAAAAGACGAGTGAAGGTAAGCTATAATAACGTAGTTTATTATCAAACACTACTTACAAAGCAATTTACATTAAATCCATGATGCAAGAAAGTCCAAAACTTCTTCGTGTAAAGGTATGAAATCTGATCAGTAATGCACATATGACAGCGGTTTCTGTCATATCCATCCTTTTGACACTCAAAAGATGACTAAACAGTCGTGGCGTGTGCACCACAGTCAACGACCAAACAATCTTGACGACTTTTCGATTGTCCACCCGACTCCAGCCAGACAGTCGGCCAACAAAAAGTCTCTTGTGTGCGGAAGGCCTTAGTGTAACTGTTTAAACGGAGGTTAAATCAAAAGGAAATACAAATTTGTTCGAATTACATTTTTGAGGATGAAAAAAAGTGTAATGGGAATGAAAATGAGTAATGGATGTGAGAGTGATCATTATGGTGTGTCAGACCAAGGTTGAGGAGTGGGTGGGGGAGGACAGAGCAGTAACCAAACAAAGGGTAGCTTGAAGCATTAAGGTTTAAATAAAATATTACTTTTTAGCGAATTTCCCATATAGGGAATAAGCTATTACCGTAGTACTCATGGTAAGACCTGGACCCGAGACCGATTTAATTTTTCATTTTGAGGTCCCTAGAGACCAAAAACACCATACGTTCAAATTCATATATATATATATATATATATGTGTCCGTTAGCGCGATAACTCAAGCAAAAATGATCCGATTTTGATGAAATTTGGTACAAACGTGTAAACCTACGTTTATTCGAACGAGTTCGCGATCCAGCATAATCGGACCATGGGATTGGAGGTTTATGGGGGGTTTTATGGGGTAAAAATGGGTCTTTCCCATTTTTGAACTTAAAAACAAAAAATTTTGCGATTTCTTTCTAAACCGTTTTGTAGAGCTTAAAAAAAGAAATAATTTAGTATATTGAAGTGCTGTTGTATGCCTAACGGTCACGGAGAAAATTCAAAAAGAGTGTAATTAAAAATTCCCATGTTATTCTTATGGAGAAAATGAAAATTGTTGTAGTTTACTTTTTTATGGGTATATATTGATAAAATTTGGCAAATTTATTTATTTCATCCTATACTATTGACGTATGGTCAAAAAACACTTTTTACCTTCTCCGTAGCAGCAAACCTAAGCACTCGTTAAATCTAATGTTATTTAAATAGGGAATAATATGTCTTACTTATGGAAATATTTTAGTAAAGATGTAATCAGACGAGTTGAAATTCGCTTAGTCTGCAGGTTTGCTGCGGCGGGGGTATTTTATGTATATACAAATTTAACACTTAGAAATAAACATGGAGTAAATTTTTAAAAGATTTCAACATCAGGTTAATATTTTTATCAAAAGATGGGTTTAGTTTAGATAGATAAATATTTTAGGACGTCACTGACCTTTTAGAATTCAGGAGAACACAGTCTTTGTTACCACAGTTTATAACACACACATTTAAAATAAAAATACAAAAAAAATAACAGTCTAGAGTTATCTAACTCCAACGTTTATATTACGTTGATATTGGTGCGGCGATTTCAAGGTACTTTTCTCATGTAAACGTTGAGAGTGTCTAACCACGAACCCACAGTGTGTTTGTGTGTGTTATGAACAGTGTGACAAGGACTGTGTTCTCCTGATTTCAAAAAGGTGAGTGATGCCCAAAAATAGTCATCTATCTGAATATATGACCACACCTAGAAACCATGTCGTTTAAAAATAAAAGATGGGTTTGTCCGATAGAATGATTAACTTTTATGTACTTAAAGTTTTGACTTACCGTACTATATTTGTTCAGAATTTTATCTATTATATTATTAAAGTGATACAATCAAATTTTATGTAAACGGTTAAGGTCATTTACCAAATAAAAATATAGGCATATTGGCACATCAAAATGAAGCTAAGAGTGTGTAGATTTGCCGAAAAGTATTGATATGGACAAATTTCCTAAGGGCTCTGCCCCACAGGCTGATTTCCAAAGGGCTACGCCTGGCATGCTTCCAATGTTTAAATGATTTAATTTAATTTAGTTAATGAAACAGCTGGTCAGTACAATGAACTGTTGTTTGTTTATTTACTCAAAAAATATGTTTGTGGCACTTTATGTAGATTGAGGAGGGTTATGTTTGGTTTTTAAGTGAGGTTGTATAGTTTTGTAAAGTATTGCTCAAAGTTTCATTTTTTAATTTATATAGTAAGCTACATGTGAAGAAGCTTGACTAAAACTGAAGAATTATGGTAAATCATGTCATTCATAAAGCATCAATATGAAGCAATTAATGCTATTGCTACACTAAGGTATGTTGTCATATTCTTATGGATCTATTAACATCAAAAGTAGGGGTTTGAAAGTAAGTAGGTTTACACTTTTAAATCAGTTTATATTTTCAAACTAAATCATAGAGTTGCTGTATTTTAAAACACACATCAGCACCACTTTAATAGCTCTCTAGGTCACATTTTCTTCCCGTTGCAAAGCACGGGTATAGCAGCTTGTATTTAAATATTAAATTCTTACTAGAATACATAGGTTTAATTATATTGAATTAGTAATTTAAATTAAGTGGATAAAACAAATTCTGCACTGGTCTTGCTGGTAATGATGGAAAGAGCCAATGTTTATCCTAACGATAATTACTAATTATCCAAAATTGTACTAACTTTAGAGACAAGTATAAAATAATTGGGTGTAAGTAAATTCTTCCAAAGTGAGGTGTTTATCTGACCATCCAACTGAGATTATACACAAGTACAATTGCATTTAAATTAATGAAAATGCACTGTTTATATTTACATTAGACTTGCAACGCACCATAAAGCTTTCTATAGATCTATTTATTAACTTAGGCCTACAAAATTCCTTTGGCTATTAATTTAGCCCACATTGAACTCAAAGTAATTTCTTAACTCAAGCCTGATAATTTTTTTAATTTTTTTTCCCGGTCAAGATGGCGGGTCGTGCAGTTCGTTATCCCTGTGGCGTCTTAGATAAAACAGTGAACAAAGGAAGCCCGGGAGTTACGTGTGACGGATTTTGCAGTAAATCGTTCCACGCAGAATGTGTATCATTTGAAAGTTATAAATATCCAGTCGATTAAGGAGCTGGGAGACTCAGTAAAATGGTTTTGCGCAGGCTGTGAGGTCAGGTTAGCTAGGCTTAAGGATTATGCTCTGAGCTTTGATGACAACTGTAATCTACTCCAGAATGTTGGAAAGCTTTTTAAATTAGTAAATGATATTGTTGTGGATAATAGTGAGATGAAATCCAAGCTAGACAATATATCCAGTGATGTTAGTAGGTTAAAAAACAATGTGGTGACCCCACCGGAAGCTCAAATTAATGACGTAGCACATATTGCTGATTATGACTCTACTTTGACTCAAGTAGTTGAAAGTAATGCAAATTCTGTGACGCACCCTCCATTGCATGGGGTTGATGAAAATAGTTTAAACAGCTGTAACACTGGCAGCACTGACGATGACGTCATGCCTCATCAAGAT